TAAGAGCTATCCCACACAATTACCCATACTGTTGACACTCTCCAAAAACTTTGTTTTGAGATGTTACAGCATTCTCCCTATAGTCCTGATCTCGCCCCTTTGGACTATCACTGGTTTGGTCCCCTAAAAGAAGTGCTACAGGGACGAAGATTCACATCTGACAACGATGTTAAGACAATGGCAGCTCAGCTGAAAACCATTTTTAAATGAAGGAATAGGAAAACTTGTGAACAGCTGGACAAAGTGTATTGAAAAGCAGGGCAATTATGTTGAGAAATGATATATTTGACTTACTGAAGGTTGATTACAATAAATTCTACAGCCAAAGTGCAGATAATTTTTGACTTACCCTTGTATATTATGCTAAAATGATTTTTGTTCCATAAGTTCTATAAATTTCTTGGCAGATATGAACAAATTAGGTGTAGATAGAGAGAAGTGGTCTGCAGATGTGCAACAAGTTTTTTGCTTTTATATATGATGATTTGTTCCAGAGATATTAGGTTCTAAAGTTTCCCTATCATTTTGCTTAGGGAGTTAATTAAAAACTTTTTACATCATTGAGATTTTGTAACAATTCAATGTTAGATTCACTGAGTAGCTAGTTAGTAGGACTTGACCAGAAAAATATTTATATAGGATTTACCTCCTTAATGTGGTATATAAAAAGATTTTGAAATTTATTTTTTAGTTGTGTTGGGAGCTTGAATATATTTCATGTAATCCAGACTAAAACTAATTACTTTTCTGAATGTTATATATAACAGGTGGAAGTAAGAAAATCAAAAAAGACTCCCCAAAATTTTTACATTTTTGAACTCAGGACCTTGAAATGTCAAGAAATGCAAAAAGATTTTTTTAAATAAACATTAACTTTCAATTTTTAATTCTAAATTAAGTTTTTCTATTTTGATAACTTTTTCTGCAGATACCACAAGTGTCTGCTAGTATATATTTGTCTTGATTTTATAATCTAACTATACAAATAAAATTTTAAATTAACTCAACTATAATTATGGTGCATCATAAATTTAAAATAAGTTATTTTATTTTACCTTGGATCATTCTTAACAAAAATATCTCCAGTATACTCTTCTTCTGATGACGAGTCAGAAAATGGCTCATTAATCCATTCATCTAGATTAAGCCTACATAATAAAGAAATATTGATATTCAAAATAAGCAAATACATTTTATGTATATTATTAAAAATATTAAAATATAATTCATAATATAATTATGATTTAAACATTTGTTTTAGCATTTGAAATGATTTATTATTACACAGTCAAATTATTTTTTGTAATTATTATTTTCTTTAATATTCCCTTATTCTTTCTTTTCTAAATTATTTTAAATGTCTACTTTTTTGTAGATTTACTCTAATTTGTCAACTATTCAAACTATTCAACAAATAAAAATCGAATCATTTTCCTTTTTTTTTTATAGAAAATAGAAAACAGTTTATATAATTATGGTAAAAATTTATATAATAAATGTTATTCTATTCTATATTTTGTATTCTTATGTAAAAATGTTTTATTCGTACATTCATAATTGATTTATATATTTTACATATCATATTGGCTCTAATACTAATCAATATATTTTTTCCAGTTTTAAAGAGGCCAGAAATTGTTCTCAACCAATATTCAAGCCTAATTAAAATTTCTTTTGATATTGAAACATCTGTGGTACACATTTTAAAGTTAAACTGATGCTAAAATTCAGTATATTAATTGTTTAGTAAATTGTTTTTATCACTTTCAACAGATTCATTCAGTTTTGGTAACTTCTAGAGAAATTTTATTTTGGTAACTTTATCTTCCTCCTAAGGAGTGTATATTAATCAAGTGATTATCAAAAATTATGAAAATTTACTCAAAATATATTCTGTTGTAAAGTGTAATTTCATTTTAATTATAAATTTATGTATTTCATATAATTTTTAGACTTTATAAAAAAAAAATGTTTGAGAGTTATAAAAAATAATAAGACAAGTGAAAATAAAACACAAAGTTTAGGTTTATTAAAGATAGTCATAAAATTGCAATTATACTTTCCAGAATGAAATATGCAAAAATTCTGTGCAATCTGA